TATCTTCCACATATTTCTTCTTGAACCATACAAGATTGAATATATTAAGAAGAAGACAAGATCCACCTCTTCTTATAGATGTCGATAATAATAAAGAGTTTGAAGTAGAAGAAGTTCTAAACTCAAGACAACACCAAAATAAATTAGAATATCTTATCTATTAGTACAGATATGATATTAAAGAACACACATGGGAGCTAGTAAAGAATCTTGTAAGTATAGCAAAAGTGGTAGAAACTTTTCATCGATGACATCCATCAAAATCAAGATAAAGAATAGTAAGTTTTTACTACAAAGGAAACAAAGATCAAAAAAGATTGCATTCTACTTTCTATTTTTGTTTGTAATTTTTGTATATTTGTGACATTAAGAAAATAGAGAATCAATAACCAATGGATACAACACAAGACCCTTTGCTTGCTGACTTGCCAAATGAAACATTACAATAGTCACAACCTTCAAGATGATGCAATTGAGATAAAGATTCTCAAAAATGACATGTTCATCTTTGAATAAATGGCAATATACAATGTATTTGGTATTACGACTTTGGAAAGGACTCCTAATGTTTGGTGATTTTACTAGAGATAGGAACAACTCTTGATGGTGTTCCAAATATTTTATTTGAAAGAACTTATAAAAACCTCAATAACAATCAAATAACTCGATGGTCTTCTCATTCTCGTATAGGATACTATTAATAGTTGAGAAGTCCTATCAACCATCTTCAAAGTGAACAAAGATAAGAGTATGTGACAAATATAATTTGCTACATGTTAAATTTTTTCAACATATGATGACCGCTCTTAGTGAAACTTGCCCCTTTAAGGAGGGATAATGTTATGGACATATGCATGTAAACCAATAATTATCTATATGATTAGATAAAAGTAGGTAAAAATAAGTTAATTCCATAATATCTTCTATAGAAGCTTCATAAATATTACTTTGACTTTATAGATGTCTATAATTGACTTTTTAGATTAGAAACATGGTCAATAAGTTGGCCATGTGAGACACATGTTGGTAGATTAAAAAACAAGCTAATTATGTGGCCTACATATAGAAAACTTGCCTCGTAAGCTAAAGCATGTCTCCTACAAAGTCAACACATATTAGAAGTCCTATAGAATATTGCCATGTAGCTCTTAGTTAGATAGTATACATAGAGGCAAGAATGAAGCCTTCTTTACTCTTGTCAACTCTTTTCTTGCTTCTAGTCTAGATTTAAGAGTATCTACTTTTCTTATCTTTTAGCAATAGCCATTTTAGTTTCTTTTAATATACATACTATTTTATTGCTATTTTTTTACTTTTCTTTTAATAAAGACTTTTCAAATTTATGCATCTTCTTCTAATTCATGTCCTTGATAATGAATTATTTTTCTTAAAATCTTTTAATCCATGATATTTTAAACTTTCTTAGGATCCATTATAAGGCCATTAGTAGAAATAATATATTTCAAAAAATTGCCTTGAATTATCTAAATTTCACACTTTTCTATCTTTACATATAATCCAATGTCTCAAAGTTTTTATAATACACAATGAATATGAAGTTCATGATCTTGTGTGTTCTTAGAGTAGATTATTATATTGTTTAAATATCAAACAATAAAATCATCTAAAAATTCTTGAAAGATATCATTTATTATATTATAAAAATCACCTAGCTCATTTATAAGTCCAAAAGATATGAAATTATATTTAAAAGGTGCATATTTAATTCAAAATATAATCTTTTATTTATTTCTTTTTTTATATGTATTAAAATATATGCTCTTTGTAAATTTTTGTTTAATTTAATTGACCAAAAATTATAGATATCAAAATTAGAGTATATATATTTTTTTAGAATAATCTTATTAAGTCTTTAATAATCTACATATATTTATTTTTTTTTCTTCAAAAATAAGAAAGTAGCTTCTATTAGAGATTATAAATAGAATAAGAAAATTTTCACAAATTTTTTATTAATATATTTCTTTAATAAAGCTAATTCATTTTATAATAAATTATAGATTGCTCCAAATGGCACTCGAATTTTTTTTTTAAAGATCAATCAAACAGCCATAAAGATAATGCTTTAGAAGAATATCTTCTTTCTTCTACTCAAAAATGTCTTGATAATCTTTATACTAGCTTGAAATACTCTTGTAAGTCTTTTTATCATTAAAAATTTATAAGGCATAAATAACAAAAGATGACCTTTATTTTGCAACATGCATAAAACCTCGTGCATGTATAAATAAGGATTTTGTTGTACTAAACTTATGACTTTTCACTTGATTAGCTAAAATCTTGATTATGGTATGGAAAAAAGAAATAGACTAATCAAAGATGGATATAAGTTAAAAGCTAAAATAATTATTTCTAAATACAAGTTGGTCATAGGCACACATGTTGGAAACTTATATTGTAAATTAAATATGTGTCTTATAAATTAGATACATGTTGAATGACTTATAGAACATTATTATATAACTTTTTAATTAGAAAATATGTATAAAGACAAGAATGAGGCCTTCTTTATTCTTATCAATGTCTTTTTAGTGTCTATATCTTATGTTAAGAATCTCTAATAGTATGCACATTCCATGGCAACTTATTGGTCCAATTTTCAATATATAAATCACCTATTAACACATGAAAAGTAAAATCTGCAGCTTTGAAGCTTTTAAGAAGTTTCTCCGCAAGATATTAATAAATTAATCTATTTTTTTATTTTTCTACCTAATTAATTTAATCTAAATATTTGCTAATATAAATATTTATGTCTAAGATATGCATTAATGAAAACAAATGATTTATATTTATTTTATTTTAATGATAGTTAATTAAAGTATTATATATTGATTCATAATTATCTTGATTACTAATACTTAGAAAGATAAGTATATGAAATCACCCATGTGAAGAAATTATAAGATTTGTTAAAATATCCAAATCTAAATAAGAATAAAAAAATATACTAAAAATACTATATGGTTTCATGGCCAAATTCTTATTTGATGTACTATCACACTATTGAGACACATGCTTTAAATCAATGATCTACTCACAAAAATTTAGTAGACGTCTCTTAAAAGATCACAATCTCAATTGAACCTATTAACAACCAAATGGAAAAATTTACTAAAACTAAACTTTTAATTTGATTAAAAAGAAACTTTGTTCTAATTTATAGCAAAAATAGAAATTGTATTAATATTGCTCATATAAGAAGAAAAAAAATACATAGCATACTAAAGCAAGTACTTAATTTTTCTTCACAATATACTTTGCAGTTTTTTAACTAATAAAATAATCTTGTATAACTTTTGGAAGCAATATCAATGACACCAAGCAGAATTGAGTCACATCTATTTGATATGATCTACCTATGATGACCTTACAAGTATTTTTCTTGGAAAGAAGGAATTCCATCTTCTAAAAATTATTTTTAAACTAAAAAATCTAAATTACAAATAAAATATATTATCTTTGAAATTTATACCTTAATATAATCGAAATAAAAAAAATATATTTTTTAAAAACTTTTACTCATCACACTCATGATTATTGAGATATTATTTTTGTACCAATTTTAAGAATTTTAAAATTATATCTGCTGAATAAAGATATTTATTTCTTATTTTTCTAGAAAAAATATCTACAACAAACAAAGCATTATGAAGATAATTTTGTTATAAATTTTTTTATGTATAAAATATTATTTTATAGTTATTAATTTGTATAATTTAAAGGCTCCAGGCACATTCAATGTTGCCCCTATTAATAAGTATTTATTTTTTTCATCATAAGTAGGTAATTTTTTATTAAAAAAATATTATATATATTCCTCAAATATGTTAAAATATCAAAAATACTCTTATATTCTTGATAATAGCAAATATGCGCCTCATATTTGTGATAATAGGAAATATATCCCTTAGATTTGTGATAATAGCAAATGTATCCTTGTTGGTGATAAGGTATTACCAACATCCTTAGTTTAGTCATCATATGGGACTCAAATTGTGGATTGTGCAAATTATGTCACATTCCTTTCTGATTTTTTAAGAATTGAAAAAATCTCACCTCCTTTTCTTCTATCAATTAGTAAACCAATCTTACATTCTAAATTCTTGGTGGTGCCATTACTTCCTTCTCCTTTACAATGCTCTTTATCACAATTGTCACATAACTACTCTTGTCTATATTCCACTATTCCAAAGTGTCATTACTTTTCATGTCTTCACTCCAATCGCCAATACTTAATGAAATCAACTCCCTAACCTATTTCTATACACTCAACCAACCAGTAGGCTAGACTACATCCAAAGCTCCCACAAAATATCATTGGAGTTGATTCATGAGTGTAGCATAAGGAAGACTTGTCTCTAGTCACATGATGAAATTGTGTCATTCCTGAAATGCGATGTAATAGACGCATGATATTGTGAAGATGTAGGTCCATAGAACTAAATGCACCCAAACTAGCCTCTAGGTAAGAGATGTGGCAAAATCTATGTGGTCCATGGTCTAAGCTTCAAATGACAACTAAACAAGGAATGTTGATGATACCTTATCACCAACAAGGGTACATTTGCTAATACCATAGATTTGAAGGATATATTCCCTTTTATTACAAATCTGAGGGATATATTTCCTATTATCACAAATCTAAAGAATATATTTACTATTATCAAGAACACATGAATATTCTTGATATTTCAGCATATTTGAAAGATATATACAATGTTTTCCTTTCTTAATTCCAATTGCTCTTAACATTTGGAAATGTACAATATTGACCTTTCAAAGGTGGCACATCTTCGAACAACACCATGCAAACATCAAACCAATATATATTACTGCCACAATCCCCCCTAGTATGAGCATCCAGACTGCACTGTTTCCCAAAAGTTCACACAATTTCAATTTCAAGCATCTTATCAGTTTATCAGCAGCCACGAATATTACTTGGATAGAGTCATAATGAGCATAGTGTAGCTTGCTATGGCTAACCCAGATTGTTTCAGACTAAAATCTTGCCTAAAGTAAGTACATTATGCTGGAAAACTTGAGACGTTTGAAAACAATTTGGAAGAGACCGGTAACGAAAACATACGGCCGCTGAAAAATAAAAATCCACCTGGTACACCGAGAGCAGCTAGCGTATTTCAGTACATTCATCAGTTGTGCATATTCAGTACACGTTTTCTCTACGGCAATGAGGTAAAAGATAGCGACACCCGACTACCACGTCGAAACCCGGGAACAAGGGTGTAGAACCAAAAAAGAGACCAGACTATGTATTGGTCGAAGAGATCCTAGTGACTGAGTGGCACCCGTGTCAACTCCAAAGGTTCCATTTGCAGTAACACTGCTCTATTCAACCGAATTTCAGCTGGAACAGGGTCGACACCCTGAAATCCACCGAATGCCGTCCCAACCAACCAAATGAACAGCTCGACGGCGAACCCTGAAACGGCGAGTGCACTGTTACCATGCGACAAGCAGTGTATTCAACTTTCGCATTCCGTAATCAGCCAATGATGTCGGTATTCACCGCCAAGGCCGGCCAGCTCATTTCGAACCTGGTGCCGGAAGCATTCTATTACAAGATCTGTACAGTAAATGGTGCCATCGTAATAGCCAGGCGTGACGTCGATTGCGGACAACACACGCACTGAATTCGTAAATTCCTCGCTAAGATTCACTCCCACCGAAGACATTGTGGCGCAAATCTGACCTAAAAATAAATGCCCTCTTACCTTTCTAATCCACCACCTACGACTTCCTACTACCTGTGATTTCCAATGGGGGTATATCTTTCTCCAGCATGGACGACCCCGTGAAAACCATCATGTTTAGGTCCGAGTGAAACTGCTTCACCTGCACCAACACGCATTCCACATTTACTACATGGACATCGATGTCTGGAATCAACAAATCCACCCCACACCACTCGTCCTAAAGTACCAGCAACCAAAACCATCAACAGAGCATAAACTTCTCGTCACCAATCTCCTCGTGCTCTATCTCACTCAGCCATCAGCTCGATACCTGCTCTTCCGCCATGCGCCTAAAACCAAATCTGTTCAGCCAGATACCCTCCGCACCTTCAGCTGCAGGAAGTGCCAACCGCTCGACCCGCAGCACACCTAACAATCTCTCAATCGACAATAGCAGTGCCTTGCAGTGGCCCTGCATCATCATCATACCATTTACGAGTCAGCCAACGCGACGGCTGCGTCACGAGCGCCGTGCCTCACCCACATGGAAACCAGAAAAATCTTCACTCCCCACTTCACTGCACACATAATACCGTCACAGACCCGCTAAAGAAAGAGTCCAAGCAATCAGAAGGTCCTAAACTGATCAGCTGTCCAGCTCCACGAACACCATAATGTCCGACACTATCTGCCCACCTGGCCTTGGTGAGAAGGGTTGGTTGCCAACAAGGGAAGCTCTGCCAGTTGCCTCCCAAACACGCGGATGAGGGCGGTCGACACCACCTTATTGCTGGAGCATCAAACCCCACACACTAATCAGCTAACGTGCACGGATTTCCACAAACCCCGAGACACTGATACACAGTTGCACAAACCTGACCTAGACCACGACCATCATCCAACTAGCAACGTCAGAAACTGCATCGTCACGACGCTTTCCCTTTCCAGTCAACTACAAAAGACATTAGAAATGCAACACTGGCATTACTTACTCGAACTTCAGGACGACGCAATAAATACCTCCAAAGTCCTGATCTCGTATGCTTCGCCTAAACCACAAGTTCCAGAAACATGTGAGTGCACTGCGTGTACACAACTTGTACCCACTTGCACCATCGTGCATAGCAATAACAAGTTCCCGTCAACTACGGGCCCTGACGCTTCATCCTAAATCATATATACCGTCCACTCCATTTGACATGAAAAGAAACAAACCTGTATACCATGAGAGGAATCAAATCCCCTCCTGACACTCCATCCGCAATAGGATCAAAGCATTCCTGTCACATGAACACCAAGGATTCACTTTCTGCACCACATGCAACAAGAGTTTTCTCATCCAAATCTCTTCATCCACGTCGCTTTGATCCTGCACCGAGTCAACGCAGACTCCAAGCATATTATACTACCCGCTTCACCAAGAAAAACTGATTTCCCACACGATGTGTGAAGTCAACTACAAACAACCCTCATTCTAGCATCACCTCCTCTCAGCCTTGATCCACGTTACTCAAGTACAAACCCTAGTGGAGCAATCCGCAACGCCGACACGAATATCAAGCATTTCAACGCTCACAAATAATAGGAAGATCGAATCTCCGCAGGGATGGCTATCCCACACAGTGCGTACAGAAAAGCTTGGGTGCGACCGGTTACGCACCGAAAATATTTGCACTACTTCTGCCAGTGCTTTACCGTTCGATGGGTCTCCGCCCCTACCATGCAGCAGCTGCCATTCGAAACCTGAGCAGCTAGACTCCGTGGCATCCTCCGATCCCTCCAGACGAGCCTGGTTGGTTTTCAAAACTTTGCTGATGATGCTATCAGCCAACGGCTCAGGCCCGTTCGACACTAGTAAGCTTAGTATGCTGTGAATATGTTTGCAGTCTTGCCCACAGAACCACTCTCCCTCTGGCAGTTCCTGGAAAATCCCACGTGTAACCATTCGGGTATCAGTTCTCAGATTCACTGTTCCTGAATTCTCACGACCTCCATCATATTCCCGTGGCCGAATAGTTGCCACGCAGCTGAGTTCAACTTTATCCCTCCCCCATCAGACCCAAAATTACGTCACAGCGCAAGACTGCCCCACTACGAGGAACCATAATTGATTGCCCATGTAACCGATATCGCCCCTAATCACACTTTACAGTCGCAAAGCAACAGGTAGTCCCTGTGCCGCACGGAATCACCAATACCCCGACCTTCTACAAGCCCTTCAGGCACCACTACAGCTAGTTGCTCAGCTCCCTCAAAAAACACACACATACACACACATTGGCTGAGCAAGGCTATTACCTTCAGATCTTCAAGACCATGCTTCTTCAAGCACCCCACGTGATACTCCCGCTCGCACTGAATGACACTCAACCACACCGTTCCAATGAGCAAGAGAATAGATGATCACGAAATAAAAAAAAACTTACCCCTTTGACCTTCATGTCGCCAACACTCACCTGATCACAAAGCAAGGTTGTTTTTGGTCCAAAACCTGTCTTCGCAAAGTCCCCGGATCTGCCACCACACAACCAGCATCAAAATCAGATCATCAAACACATGGATATGACCTCTTTAACATTCTAAGTCGACGTAGATGATATCAGTAACAGTTCTGGAAATAATAATAAAAAAATACATAAGACCGACAACAAAAAACACACGCTCGCATGACGAAGGAAAAATTGCGACTGAAGGATGATGAAACCCTTCATATCGCCAAGGTGTGCAACCAATCATGCAACGATCGCACAGATTTAAAAAAATGCCAGCCTTAAACATCGCGTCCTTTGCACAACTGAGAAAAAAAAAAAAAAAAAACAAACAAACAAACAAACAAACAAACAAACAAACAAAAAAACGCGCGTGCGTCCAGTTCTTACAAAACTAAATCGTGAAGTTGCAGCAAGTCATCATGCAAACTCCGCAACCCTTACTTGCAAAACACGCAACCACCCAGAACAACAGCCTCAGGAACTTGCAATAGCCGAGTGCACCGTCCGGTCACGCGATCCTTTGAAAGTAGAGTCTTTGCAGCTCCCTTTGAACGTCGATTCACCATGGACCGCCGCCTGTCTTTGGTTCCACCATATCGTTGCTCTTGACAGTCGGGACAGAAGAACTCACCGGACGAATAGGAATCCACTTTTCCCAAACAATCTGCCACATACCGTCACCTGCTCAGTTCACACGAAATCTTCTAGCAATCCATTCCAACATCAGCAAAATCAGAACAATTATGTTTCCCACTTCCATCGTCGAACACGTCCCTCAGAAAAACCAACCACCACTTCCACACATGATTCACGGCAGCGACAACCGTACCCTGATGGTATGCATTTGGACACCGCGTGCACAACTGAAGATCTCCACGGTCCCCGCACTCGACACACTGATCCAGATGCTCAATCTTCGCAGGAGTATTACCCTCCTGCTTCACAGTCTGTTCCACTACCAAAGACTGGGCAGCATCGTGAAGAGACCGACCATCAGCCAGATATATGCTAGTATACCTGTTCCAGCCATTCCCAACGACAAGCCAATTCTTAATGAACAACTACCAAAGGTTATCAACACTTGGCACCTCATCAGGGAGTGCAGGGGACACCAAAACATGATACATTGGGCAGGCATACATCATTATGTCACCAACTATAGGTATCCAATTAGTCCACCATCAAGAAATAATGAACTATGTTACAACGTCTCAACCGAACCGCCTCTAGCCATTCAAGATAACTGTCGATGCTCTTAAATCAAATGAGAACGAAAAATATCCTTCTTAAGCGTCGACCATCACTGCAAGCAGCCACGTTTTCACGATACTGGACTCCGAAAAGAAAGAATCAGGAGTAGTTCATATCCATAGAGATTGGCATTCAGATACTTACGGGTTTCTTCGAGACCCCCACCCGGCATGCTGCTCGAACAATGAGCAACTAATCTGCAATGCAACTCCCAATCTCGTCAAAAAAACACAAACCAAAAAAACAGTCAACCCACCCATAAGAGACTGAACTATAACCGGGATACAGAATTCTAAATACATTCGCCTCCATACCATACGTTCGCCTTCGTATGTAAGCCCACACACCACGCTATCCATTAATATGGACGACATTCCATTTCGGGCCTACAAATAAGCCGTGCAAAAGCCAACAAAGAGGGAGAAACCCTACCACTTGTTGACAACAACTGCACAATATTCCTGCTCCTCTCTTCAGTCCGGCTAAGAATTTCTGCACAACATGTCAACGTCAGCGACGCTAACGACTGCCTATGGAGCACTCCACACAGAAAGTCGCTCGCTGCTCAGCATCTCAACCGAAGGAAAAAGCTCCATTCAATACCCGATCCACGTAGTAATGCTGTCTAAACATTCCTACTTCTATCAGCTAGGACGAGTAACAAACCTGTCCCTTGACATAGTATCCAACTTCTATATCATCTTCTAGGCCTCCTGGAAGAAACAGAGCTTTGTGTAAATTTGCTCCACTCGATTCTCTGCTCGGAACTGGGGGACTAGCCGCTTCCTTTTCCCTCGTGGTGCGGTCGAGTCTGCAATAAAGTCATCCAATTCAAGACAAAAACCAAACTCGCCGAATTGCTTCCGCAGAACAAACAGCCCTGGTCATATATACGCAAGTAATGACAAATGCGGAACATGCAGCAACTCAGAACCGCCACCACCTTGCCAACTTCTACATCAAACACACCAGATGCCTGCTACCGAATATTTTCCAAGAGCTCTATAACTGGCATCTCAAAATCTACTCAAACCACATCCTGAAACACGCTGCATCGCCCGCTCCGACTCACAGAAACCACTCAGCTCTTGGAGACAAACCTCGGTATAGTAGCTCTCACATCGCCTCCCCTCGCCTTCACATCAGAAGTGGACTTTGCTTTCGTATCCAATGGCATCCTTGACCTCGTATCCAACATCACCCTTGGTTTCATATCCACCTGGGGCATCCTCGGTTTCAAGTCCACCGGCACCCTAGGTTTCGTGTCCAGTACCAGCCTCGGCTGAGGTAGCTTCTTTTCAGCTGGTTGGATCGCTATCAAGGGGTGATCTAGGCTAATGATCTGCACCTTCTCACCTCCAACTTCACCAATGGCAGACTTCAGCACATCCATTACGTTCATCTTCTGTTTGTTTGCATTCCATCCAATCTCCAGTATGTCCTTCAAACACTTGCCATTCTCAAGGAAGATAAAGTCGCTGGGGTGCCGTGCTGAACTGCCAGCATGTTTCTCGAATGCAGACACGTTCACCACCTTTAACCCAACAACACAACCGGAGTCAACTCTCTTGTGACAAAACGTACAGCTACACGTACCACATTGCCCTATACTCCCTAGTGCTCCGCGCAACATAAGCCCTTCCAATAAACCCCATTTGCCCACTCCAGGAAGACGGTCACATGTTACCTGCACGCCTTTGCAACTGCTACAGTCGCAAAGTACTCCCCCTTCTTGTATGATACCCGTCAGCATGATCTGCATACAGCCCCAAATCCAAGAATCAGCAAAGCAACGACACTAAGGATTCCCTTTAAAAAATAAAATAAATAAATAAAATAAAATAAAATGCAACCCCATCACTAAAACATATCACCATTTGAGATGATTTCATTGATAACCTCGAGATGCCCCTCAACTCCGCCATCTCAAGCCACAATAGGTTCGTTCCTCACAACGACGCAGTCAACCATTGGCGTACAGAACACAAAGCATCGCACAAATCGGATCCAACCATCAACTGCATATCTACGCATTCGCAACAAGCAAACAACTACAGCTATCGGCACCCCAGAGCTGCTGCAAACGACGTACATGCCCACCACGCCCCAGATATCGCACATGATGCCCATCCAGCAACCCTGACTGCAGCAGAAGTTTCGCCGACGCCGGAGCCTCTTTCAGCAAAACCTCCTTCACCATGAAGCCCCTCTCGCCACTCAGGGTTGGAGACTGTCTCATGCCCACATCTCCTTGCCCTTTCAATTTCAATCGCGGCTGCACACAACACACAATGCCACAACACCATGTCAGATCTCCAAACCATATCTCACAATTGCCTCCGCACCCAAACTCACTCCCACGCCCAACGCCCAACGCCACATCTTTAAAGATGCTACACCAACCTTCAACCCAGGTGACCGCGACTGTGCTGAAGTCCCAGCAGATGGCGTCGCAACATCCGAATCTTGCCTATCCATGCTCTCACCCCCTTTCTCGCTACCTGAATACTGGGAAAATTCCAGATCCTTGCTGGGAGCTACAGCCAACTCAACAGAGCCACCGAGTTCCCGGTTACGCAAACTGTCTCCTCTCGCGTCTCTCCCTTCTTGCAAGGGCAAGTTGTCCGACACTGGTTCACTGCTCGGATCCTCGCTGCCCACCGCACTCCCAACAAAGCCGTTGGTTCCTTCACTACGTTCCGGCAGCTGAACCACGGGCTCAAACAGCTCCGTGCACTTTTCCTCCACATAGATTCCATTCGTTAAGTCCGTGCCCCCATTTCCGTCCTGTTCGCACTCATCCAAACCATCGTCCGACAAAGGATTCGATGTCGCGTCATTGCGACCTCCTGCCACTTCGAATGCGAGGCTTTCCATTATAACCTCCACCATCTTCATTTCCAGAGCTTTCGATGCATCCACCTCACTGATCCCACTGTCGTTGTTCGCATCTTCATCCGCAGTCTCGCGCTGAACTGCACTATCGGCGACGACCGACTCTCCTACGCCTTGGTACGTTTGGGCAGTCTGTGGGCCTAATGGCATAGATGTCGTTCGAGCCTCCGATGCACACACTTCGTCCGGCAAAGCCGATGAGCTCAATGCAACATGACCACCATCCTTGGTCTCATCGGACCCCGCCCAGCTCGAACTCGACTGCAGCACACCACCATCTGCAGCGGTGTCAGACACGGACTCCCTTGCGTTTATTACAATATATGTCCCTTCTGCTGCGGCTACATTTGAAATCAACTGTTCCTCTGACCCCATGTCGATATGACCATTCTGCAAAATTGCCGGAAATTCCTCTTTCACAACGTCATTTTCCACCTGCATCGGCAAGTGAGAAACAAGGATTTCGTTCATTGCACCCGTGCCTTTCACCTCCAACCCCACAGAATTTGACGTCGCCAGGTCTCCGCCACTCTTGGTCGTATCCACGCTGGAGTCGGCTGAAGTCAAGATGAGGACCACATTCTGCAAAACAGGAGTCTCTTCAGCAGCTTCGCAAACCCTCAACGCACCGTCATCGTCGATAACACCCATTTCCGCCGCCGGAGTGGGAACGCTAGTGCAGGCAGCGATGGAACCAGAAATTGTCTTCGGTGAACTGGGCAATGCCTGGCCGTCCGACACTTTGCACCTTGAAAACCACCGGTTCAAATTCAGACACTCGCAAGATCTGGACTCGTACTTTACAGTACCAACAAACCATACACCTCTCAAATTAAAAGATACGTTGGCATCAACTTGACACCATCGCGGTTCTCTCGAACTCATCGGACGTCCACTTAGTCCTCAGAAAACCACACAGGGGCAAGTTCCAAGCTCGTCAACTCCCACGTCCACCGGTGATTCCTATTCAGTATGGCGTCACCAACCGACCAGTTCCCAAGGGGACACATCCACCCATGCCCTCTTCCACGACCCAGAACTATCAAGACATGACGCAACGCATGAGAAACTACAAACAAAGCTACTAACATGTGTACATGTGCGACTCACCTTCCTTCCGGTTCTCCCCAATCCGTGTCGATCAGCATTGCATCTACCAGAGTAGTGTCCAATGGCGCAGAGTCCACAACCACGTCAGGAGATCCTCTCACGGCAAGCTTCTTCGCCGGGCTCCGCAACTCCTTCGATCCTTCATCAAACGCCCTCTTTTTCGCATTCACTGTCGCACTCTCATCATCCAGGTGCAGGTCGCTGGGATCCATGATCCTGTCACCGGCGAGAGCACTGGCAGTTGCGGTCAATAGCCCATTCTCAACTGCGCAAGACTCCGACAGGCCAACGTCCTCCACTGCATCAGCCACCCGGTGGCTAATGTTTGCCGAAATCTCCATTGCAGCGGACTATCTACTTGGCATTAAAGAGGGAATCGGGATCTGCTCCTTCCCATGCGCTGACTCACCGACTCATAGCTCCAATGTACAGAACACCACCAATCTGCCAGATAATCGAACCGACTGCGAACACAAACATGACCACGGCCGTCAGCAAACTAATTTCTGAAACGCCAAGGAACCGTTGCGAACTGCATGCAGACGAATCGAGCGTCAACATGTTGAGGGCCAATTTTCAACACGCCGCATCCCACGAATTGAAATTCAGAAGAGGACTCTAAGCCTGGCCGGTGTGAGCGAGACTTCAATGTTGGTAGCGAACACTTAAATTATGTTGCAGGAGCGAGAAGCTTAGAAATTTAAACGGTGCACGCTAAACACGATACAAAGTTCCACATGCTTCTTATGCTAATCCACTGCTCCGAGCAGCGTCATCCAATAGCCCAAACTACAAACCTCGCTCAAACCATTCCTAGCCCATCATGACAAGCATCGTCGTTCTTGACACCCTAAATTCAATTTCATGCGATCATGGACCGTCAGCAGAACGCAAAATTTCGCAAAATCTTCACAATCGGCTCAACTACAAGCCGAGAATCGGAACACTGCGTCAAAGACACCCATCCGGAACAATAAGACCGGACATGACTGATGATAAGGGAGCAGTCTTGTAATCAACGAGGGAAGAAAAGCTGTCAGACTCGACGAAATTGGGGAAACTAGGCAGTGCCAACTCTAGATGGAACAAATTACTGCTGCAATTGCTTCGGGCACTGCCTACTGCGCCAGGTAAAGTAAACGAAGAGCCAAATTATGTCGTGAAGTACGAGAAAATCGCAAACCATGACTATCATTCCCGCTCAGAGCCACACCCTAGGGACAACCTAGGGTAGGCAGATGCCGAGATCCTTTCTTGAAAGTATTGCACTTTCCAAATGAATTATGCAAAGAAAAAAGATGTCAGAGCAGACGCGCAATCATCGTAGCGAGTCGAAAAGAAACCACCTCAGCATCTACATTGTCGAAACCACATCACTTCACGACTTTCTGCCTAGATTGCACTTTGAAAAACACTGCAGACCGGATGCTAGCGGCAAAGAACGCGCAGAGTATCTCGAACACAGTGGGTATGAAGCTTTTAGGTTTTAGGACGAGTGCGGACAACCTTGAAACAAAACCAAAATCTCACAAAAGTCGAGGCACCGAATTAGGCATCACACAATTCAGCCCCAAGTCCGCAGCATCAGCAGAAAGAGAAAGACGAGGCCAAATCGATGGAGAAAAATGCGATAAAGCAAAAACTTCTCCAAAACCAGAACCACGCCACGACGCACCTCGAGCCTTGTACTTCCTCCACCACGCCTCGCAAAGGACCACCGCAAGACCTAACCATAGCACCACCAAAATAAATAAAAAAAAATCCACCGGGGGCAAACAGATCACGCCCCAAACCCTCATCTCCTGCCAAGCGACCTCGCAAGGGTTTTACGATGCACAAAACTCCCGCGAGGCATCAAAGCTGAACTCGAAAATAAACACGAACGGCATTATCCACCTAGACTCCACCACGGACACATGCAACCGCTCCCCGACAGCTAAGGATGGCGAACAGGAGTAGTACACATGAGCTATGGAGTTGTTGTTCCGCAACAGGAACTTGTTGCAGACCGCCATGGGGCAAAGTAACTGAGACAACAACGATGATGGAGTCTCGGGCTTCCTCAAACGCCGATGATGAATGACAAACACACCCTCTGGCAGATGGAGGCCCACATCATAGTCAAGTGGATGCCATAACCTCATCTATCTTTGGATGGTATCTGTTCGTTCGTCTTCGACGATCTTTCCGTTACGGATGCAAATACCATTTACCGATGAACGTTGGTAGTGGGTTGATGGATGGGAGATTCCTTGACGGGGGGTCCTTTGAGCCGTGAATGACGGCGACGGGACTGCGGATGATCTTGCTTCCTGACCACGATCTTGCCCAGTCCTGTGACTTTATCCTTCTATTTGGACAGAATTCATCCATATGGTTGGATTCAGTGAATATTCTAGTTGGGTGTTAAAATTTTGTCTATCCGCTACATTGATAACAGTGTCATTCATCATTCAAGCATAACAACACTCTAATACATTTCTCCAACATGTGCACAAAATCTGTGTTCATAATTGCATATATGCAATTTTATGTAATGTTTTCAGTTCATAAAAAAATAATGTAACAATAAAAATGTAGGCCAACTATTTTCAATAATGAATAGCTTGAATTCCATCATTTAACTTGTTTCTAATGTATTTTGATTCCATTACCCTCTCTCTTCTTGAAAATGCAACCCCCACTTCATTATGAATACTCCTCCAAAGACAATTTGTTTAAATAAGTGTAATTTTTTCTCACTCTCAACATTATTCTATTATCAAACTCCATTCTATTGGCAATAAGAGGTTGTAGTTGAAGTGTGACCATGGAGGTGTCCATATTGATAAGAAAAGTATTATGGAATAATGAGCTCATATAAGTTTCTACAACTATCTATTAAGGTATATGTAAAGGAGTTTGCAATAACAAATCTTTGTCACGGCCATAATCATGTAAGCTAATAATTACATATAGAAATAGGTAGAAGTAAATAAAAGTAGGTAAAAGTAAGTTAATTCTATAATATTTAATATAGAAGCTTCCTAGAAACTTCCTAGACGCTGCTTTGACTTCATAGGTGTCTTTAATTGACTTTTTGGATTAGAAACGTGGTCAACAAGTTGGCCATGTACCACACATGTTGTTAGCTTAAAGATCAAGCTAACTATGTGGCCCACACATAGAAAAACTTGCCTTGTAAGTTAAGGCACGTGCCCTACAAAGTCAACACATATTGGAGGTCCTATAGAATATCGCCATGTAGCTCTTAATTAGATAGTATATATAGAGATAAGAGTGAAGGCTTCTTCACTCTTGTCAACTCCTTTCTTGCTTCTAGTCTAGTTTCAAGGGTCTCTAGTTTTCTTGTCTTTTGGCAATAGCCATTCCAGTTTCTCTTTCAATATATATACTTGTTTATATATATTTTGTTACCTCTCTTTGAGTGAATGCTCACTTGTTTGAATTGTTTTTTCATCGAGTTCTTGTCCTTGACAGATTGACAAGAGTGCACTTATAATATCAGAGCTTTGTTTTTCTTAAGTAAGAGTGGATTATCCCTTTCTCTTGACAAGACATAAGCATATTAGAAGTTTGCGGATTATCCACTTCTAAACTAATATTGTTCTTAGTATCTTCTTTGTTATCAAGTCTTTTCTTTTTCTTTTGTCTTGAGCAATATCAGACAAATTTTTCTTCTTAGTATCATTATGGCAGAGCTTGTTGAAATGAAGAGTGCAATGGCACAAATGCAAGAACAATTGAGGGAGTTAATGCTTGCGATGCATCAACTCAATTCACCAACACAAGAAAGTGGAGATATAGAGATGATCGAAGGTGCTTCAACATCTACACCAAATCACATTCCTTCTCCAATTGTACAACACCTTGTAAGCACTAGAGAACCAAGAATTGCTTTACCCGAGAAATTTGATGGTACAAGAATAAAGTTTCGAGGGTTCATCAATCAAGTACAATTGGCAATTGAACTTCAACCGCAAAGCTATCCAACTCCAGGATCACAAGTCAGGTTTATTGGCACTCTACTTTCTGGTTCTGCATTATCGTGATTTTCATCTTTTCTTGAACAACGAAATCCAATATTGGACAATTTGGAAGCTTTTTTGGCGGAGTTTCGATCTATGTATGGTGAACACGATGTAACTCGTGTTGCAACAAATAAGATCCGAATTCTGCGACAAGGAAATCGCTTAGTAACAGTGTATGCTTCACAATTTCGACAACTTGTAATTGACATCAAGTGGGATGATGCTGCACTCATCAGTCAATTTCTTTATGGATTGCAATACGAAGTGAAGAAATTGATGCTCAACTTACCTAATCCTCAAACTTTGAGTCAAGCAATCGATTTTGCGGTAAAATGTGACAATCGACTTTTTGAATTTTGATTCGAGAGTCGTACACGGGAACCTCAACGTTATTACTCAATGGCAACATCAGCATCTTTGCCAAAAGTACATTCAGAAGTAGAAGACATGCAAATTGACGCGGTACGTTTTAAACCCCTAACTGAGCAAGAAAAGATTCGTCGTCGTCAAGAAGGATTATGTTTATACTACGGAGAATCTAAGCACACTGCTCAACTTTGTCCAAAGAAACAACGTAACTATAAAATGAGGGGTACGGCAGTCAAAGAAGACAACATGTCGGAAAACGGATTCGTCCAGCTATAATAGGGACCGTGCAGCTGGAACCTTGTACAATTCCTAATGAAGGTCCTATCCTCTCCTCAGAACCCTCTTCTTGTTTTATAATAGAATTATATTTAGGACCTAAGAATTACAAAGCCTTTGCTTTATTAGATTCGGGAGCCTCAGCATGTTTTTTAGATGAACAATTTGTTAAAAGTCATAAAATACCTTTTGTACAGAAAACTAAACCCGTACATGTAGAAGTCATTGATGGCCGTCCTTTGTCTTCTGGAGATGTCATTCATGAAACTCGCCCTATAAAAGTAACAATAAACGGTCATGTTAGCTACATAGCTTTTAACATAATTAAATCCCGGTCTAATCCAGTTATTTTAGGTTTATCTTGGCTAGAAAAATATAACCCTCGAATAGATTGGAATTCTCGTAAACTTGACTTTTCCCAAAGCATTATTAATAGTTCTACCAAGCAAGTAAAAAGTTATAAATCTAATATAGTAAAATTCGTACTTATAGATGCAAAAGCATTTATATACACAATAAAAGAAGGATCAACTTTTGCTATTCATGCTGCACCTATTTCTGAAAACGTAAAGATTTCAAGTGGCATTCGAAGTCAATATCAGGATTATCAAGACGTTTTTGAGAAAAAGAATGTAGATATTCTTCCTGAGCATCGCCCATATGATTGTTCAATCGACCTCAAGGAAGGAACTCAGCCACCATTTGGACCAATTTACAGTTTATCGCAAGATGAGTTGGCTGAACTCAAGACATATATTGACGAGAATTTAGCGAAGAATTTCATACGCCATTCAAAATCTCCAGTAGGAGCTCTAATTCTATTCGTAAAGAGAAAAGATGGATCTTTGCGAATGTGTGTTGATTATCGAGGACTCAACAAGATCACAATCAAGAACAAGTATCCATTACCTTTGATATCAGGACTCCTTGACCAGTTGAATCAAGCTAAGATTTATACAAAAATAGATCTAAGAGGAGCATATAATCTAGTACGAATCATGGAAGGAGATGAATGGAAGACTGCGTTTCGAACCAGGTACGGACATTTTGAATATAATGTCATGCTTTTTGGACTCACGAATGCACCAGCTGCTTTTCGATATGTCATGAATAATGTATTTCGTGAATTCTTAGACAATTTTGTCGTCTGCTACCTAGACGATATCCTGATCTATTCTAACAACGTCGAAGAGCATGAAATACATGTTCGTCAAGTATTACAAAAACTTAGAGATGCAGGATTGTACGCCAAGATGGAAAAGTGTGTATTTCACACTACTCAAGTTGACTTTTTAGGATACATCATTTCAAATGATGGTCTCATGATCGATTCTAAGAAAGTCCAGACAATCATGGATTGGAAGATTCCAAGGACAGTAAGAGATGTCCAATGTTTCTTGGGATTTGTCAATAACTATCGGATCTTCATCAAAGATTTCTCATGAGTTGCAGCTCCACTTACACGCTTGACTAGTAAAGATAAATTTCAATGGAATCAAGAAGCGGAAGTAGCATTTGAAGCTTTGAAGACATCGTTTGTCTCTGCACCAGTCTTATATCGTGTTGACTTTTTCAAGGCATTTTTTATGGAAACAGACGCATCGGATTTTGCTTTGGGTGCAGTTTTGTCACAAATGGGAACAGATGACAAACTTCATCCGATAGCTTTTCATTCAAGAAAATTCTCAGCAGCTGAGATCAATTATGAGATCCACGATAAAGAACTGCTTGCAATCGTGGATTCCTTTCAAGAATGGCATCATTATCTAGAAGGCGCTTCTAGTCCAGTCATTGTGTATACAGATCTTAAGAACCTCGAGTATTTCATGTTAGCACGCATGTTGAATCGTCATCAAGCTCGTTGGAGTATGTCTTTGTCAAGATTCGAGTTCATTATCACTTATTGGCCAGGAAAACAACAAGGTTTGTCCGATGCATTGTCTAGATGTTCTTATTTTGCACCAAAAGAAGGAGATGCAGCTTTTGAGCAACAAAGAAAGGTCCTCTTGAAACCGGAGCAATTTCATCTCCAAGCAATGAAATCAACATTGACTGTTGATTCAACTTTTCTCAAGCAAATCCAGTCCAGTATGTCCTTAGATCCTCTTGTTCATGATATTGAGAATAATTCTTCTAAGTCTCATGATTCTTCTAAGTTTGATTTCAAGAATAATCTATTATATTTTGAAGGACGCTTATATGTTCCAGAAGGAGAAGCACGTTTACGTGTTCTTCAAGCACGTCATGATTTTCCAGCAGTAGGACACTTTGGATATAATAAGACTTTGAAACTCATATCAAGAGATTTTTGGTGGCCACAAATGTGGAAGTCAGTCAAAGACTTTGTACAATCATGTAATATTTGTTCAAGCTCAAAAACTCCTCGTCATCAACCTTA